ATTATTAAGTACAATTATTTAATAGAATTAAATATTATTTTATGAAATAATATTTTTAAAGATTACTTAATTATTTAATATAACTTTAAAATATGTCCCAAGTGTTATTAAATAATTTAATATTAAATAATATTATTTAATACTATACAAATAATATCACTTAAATTATATAATTTTATTTAATAAATGTAATATTATTTGTATTACAAAAATTATATTTGCAACAACTTAAATATTTATTTTCAATATGTAACACATTATTTATCGAATATATTTTATGATTTTCAAATTTTGAAAACAAAAAGAAGATTAAAAAACTGAAAACAAAAAACTATGCCAAAGAATTCCTTAGCTACTAGTAAAAATGTAACCGGTAAAAATGTAACCGGTGCTGTAATTCATTTTTATATATAAGAAAAAGAAAAGAAGTCAATTATTTTTATGGATTTCGCTAGACAGCTTGACAAAAAAACGTGAGAGGTTGGGGGATGAAGGGGGCAGGGCATTTGGTGGGTCCAATGCAAAATATATTCAAATCCCAAAGGAGAGTGTGCCCATCTCCTTCACCAGTGATAAGTCACCAGCTTCACCAACTATGGCTATTTTCAGAACCAGAAAGAAAAGATTGACATTTGGAAGTGATGTTTGATTTGACAGCAGTTGGTGGCGATGCTGGTGGACTTGACTCTAGGTGCCGGGTAGAATTATTTTTGGAGTGCTCTTTCTTCGTAACCAACTTCTTTGTTCACTCTCCTCGTTTCCTGATATTCAACGGACATAGCTCATTAGAAATGGTAAAGGGGGGTTTAATCAGAATAATAATATGAGCTGGCTGACAAAAGAAAATAGAATTTTAATTAAATGTCGATTTTTCTTCTGTTGGGTTATTTTCACCTTGATTTTTTTATTTATACTTTTAATTCAATTATCATCCATACTTGACGGTATTAAAGAAGATGAAGGTAAAATTATATTTTTATTAATATATTTTACTGAAATTTTTTAAATAAAAGTTTTTTTTATTTAAAAATTTTAAAATTTTGACTCAAATATTTGTAGATCTTTTTTTGTTATTCTTTCTAAAAGCCAATTTATTGAAATGGATAAAACTCTTAAGTTCATTAATTTTGGTTTAATTTTTTAATTGAAGAATCTTGGTTCAAAGATTTTTATAATCTTTGAATCAATTTCTTTAATGGAGGTAGTGGCTTGATTAGTCAATTTATAGATGATAATTTAATTTATAAATAGATCATGAGCTACTTCTCTAAAATACAAATGTTTAGTCATAATTCGTAATCTAAAACAATCTTTTATTAATGGATAATTAATAAAAATAAAATTATTTTATTTTATTTTAAACCAAATAGCTTTTGATATTAAATTTGATTGGATACCACTAATTATTGTTTTTAACAGGATTATTAAACTTTTTATCAAGTAAAAGAGCTAAATTGATATATCTTTACCATATATTAAAAGAGATTTTATAGTAATCATGATGATCCATATATGTATATATCTAACTTCAAGATATTTTTATTTAAATTTTTTGATTTCTTTTTTTGTAAAAAGGGATATTTTTATTATTTTTGTTTAGAATCATTTGTTATTGTGTCTCCATTGACTTTTTCAATGTGACATTGCACCCAAAGTTGAAATTTTGTAAAAAAATAAAATTTTATATATTTCATCTTTTTTGATAGACTGCATGTGAGTAATTTGCTCATCAAAAAAATTATGATCTTGTCCTAATACATCTCTAAGACCAGTAATTTGTTATTGTTCTATTGTAGAAATTTTTAGGTTGTATTAACTTCTAAAAGGGAAGCAAAATTCATTATAAAAATAAATTTTTCTTTAGGACCTGAATCTATTTTAGAAACCAATTGATAAATGATTTCATCTTCGGATAATTATTCACCAAAACAAATCTCTAACTCATGATCTTCTAGAGTTTTTATAACTTTTTTAGCCCTCTTCCTTTATAAGACATTGTGGTGCTATATGACATTCTTCTTCGCAAATAAAACATTTGCATTTAAACTTTTTGTTAGAATTTTTTTTTAACAATTTTTTGTTTTTAGCAATCTTAGTTTTGAGTTTCCATTTTATAGTGTTTTTGTTTTCTAAGATGTTTGTAATAAACTTTGGTTTTATTATTTCAATCAAATTCAAATTCTTGATCTAAAATTTTAATGCATTGTTTATCATTAAGTTTGCTTTTAACTTGTTTAGAAGCTTTTTGTTTAAGACAATATTCAACTATTTGCTTTTGAGCAAAATATATTCTATTACCTAAAGTATCAACATAAACTAAATCATTATTAACTGGCTTATGCAATTTTAAATATGTGGGATAATTTTGTAAACATAATTCATCCCATGTTAAGAAAGGTTTATGAAAATATTGTTCTTTCCGAAACTTTAAATGTTGTTCATCCAACTTTTGGTATTTACTAATATATATATTTTTTTGAAAATTTTTTATATTTCTAATATTGCAAAGTTTTATTTTAGACAAGATGAATTGAGCTTCACCGTTAAGATCGACTTCATCTATCCTTCCACAATACTCGTTTTTAAGCATTGTAGTTAGATTTTTTAAAATATATGAGATTATTGTAATCTTATTAAGGAGTATCACTTTTTGGACTTTTCTTTCTTCAAAATTTTTCTATTTTTGTAAAAATTATAGAACATCACCTTGCCATGTTTCATAAAAATAATTTAAAAAATTTTCTTTTATCCATGTATCCTTATAGCCTGTTACTAGAATTGACATAAGCTGTGCCTAATCTTCTATAATTTTTTCATAATCAGATATAGGTACTTTGGATAAATCTAAATATGTTCCTCCGGATACAACCTTTCTTTTGTTAAAAGATTCTATATACATACTCTGAAAGACTGGTTCATGACCTATTTGTTTTGTTTCTTTTTTATTTGATTATTGTTCAAACAAATCCTAGTTACTCATTTTTGAAAATATAAGATGATTATCAATGTCTAGATTAAAAACTTCACCTACCTTTCTTTTTTTTTTTTATCAACTTTTTGTTATTCTATCCCTATAGGTGTAGGTGTATGTTCTTCTTTTTCTATTTCTTCAAATGAAAAGAATTCTATAACAGTAGTTTCTTCCTTGACTATCGGATTAGTAGCTAGAATTTTATCTGTTTGATTATCACTATCAGTATTACTTTCATCAGCAGTATCATAAAGCATATAGTGATAATTGAATTTTTTGAAGAGTTATTTATGAGTTTCGTAAAGTTTTTTAATCATATGCAAATATTCAATCCTTTCTTTAGGAATAGTTGCCTTTTCCATAACTTAAGATGTTCTATAACAGTTTTATAAGATTTAAAATCTAATTTATCTTATTTAGAGAATTGTGATTGAGATAATGATGGATTATCATAAGTGAGTGTACGTCTAGTATTACCATAATATAAGGGTTTAAAGTCATTGGTATCACTTTTACTAGTGTCTATAATTTCTATTTTTTGGTTCATATTGTTTATTTTTTATTCTAATATTTCAACTTTAGCAAAAAAACGCTTAAAGAAATAAGCTAATAAATTACTAAACCATTAATACTACTACTTAGTGTAGGTATATGATGTTCTAATTGAGATTTTATATGCAAACTATGATTATAAAGAGTTTATGGGCAAATACAATTTTTTACTTCTTGGTTCATATTCCTGTCACCTAAAACTGTTTGTTTACCATTAAAATCTCAGAAATCCAAGACAAAATGCTTACAATAAGAACCAACAAAAAGATAATAAATAGATATATGAGTTTTAAAACATAAACCAATAAGCAGAATTTATGTAAAAGCAAAGAAATACTCACAATAATAGGTTACAATAAGAACTTCAACTTATATATATTTGAAACTATTGTTACAAAACTCTGATCCAATAAAAGAGAAAAAAAAGAATAGAGTAGTAACGGTTACCAAGAAAAGAATATAAATGAAGGGTAAAAGAGAATGGGTAGTGGAGGCATGTCCCTTACCAAGGATATCTATCATTTTTGTAACAAAAATTTTTAATTTAACCTTAGTTGAGTTTTTAATTGATGATAGTTACTCTGATTGAATTTGTCAAAGTTATTTTCTTTAATAAAAAAAAGCCATTGCTTTATAGATTCTTTATTGCTTTGTAGGTTGATGTTGACCTTGTAGGCTGACCTAACTTTTTGAATATTATCAAAATTTATTAGTTCTTCATCATCCAAGTGGAATGATTGTTGAGAATTGATCTTGATTTTGTTTCAGATAATCCATCATTCTTGGTATTGAAATAATAAATGTTGATGCTAACCTTGCAAGCTGACTTAACCTTCTTGAATATTATTAAGATATATTAGTTTTTCATTATTCGAGTGGAATGATTGTAGAAAACTGATCATAATTTTGTTCCAGATGATCCATCCTTTTTGGTATTGAAATAATAAATGTTAAAGATAGTCTATCTTTTGTTTTTTTATAAATGTTCCAAAAGATCCGATGTTTGTTATTCAGTAGGTAGCAAACTTGCTCCATCGTAGGATTTTTGAATGAAAATTCTTTGACCATAGGTTAAAGGCAGAAACTTAAAGATATTGAGATTTTATTATTTCACAATCCAATGTTTTTACTTTGTCCATCATAGATATTTTTGTTTAGAACTGGCATTGATTAGTAGATAAGAACTTCCTTAATGCTTGGTTAAGCTGTTCAAAATTCTCATTAATTTTTTCAAGAAATCCACCCATCAATTTTTGAAATTTTCATATTTGATAGGTTTGGATAAATCTCTCTTTGAAAAATTCCAATAGACTTGTAATATTAAAATGGATATAGCAAAAATATTGACAATTTTTTGTAAAATCAAGGAATCAGACTGCTCTATTTATCTAGGAAGACAAAAAGACCAAATTTAAGTTAAAAAAAAAAAAGGTGCCAAAAAAGACAGTTCTTTGACAAATAAATATAGCTACGTAAAATAAACTCTTTCTCTTCTGCAAAGCAATTATATTATGCTCCAATGTCCATCACTATTTGGCATGAAAAAATGAACCGATCAAGGAAATGCCATGAGATGTCATACTGTTAGCATAAGAGTTGAAAAACAGTGTATCCTGGTCAATGCCACCTTAGCAATAAAAACAGGAATGGCCCTGGATAACACGTATAAGATTATGGTGCTCAAGCAATATCTCACTACAACAGAAACACTGAAAAGAAAAATTTTACCGGGTCGATTTCAACTAAAGCAAATGGTCTCAGATTGATGGTATTAAGCAACTTGGCTCTTGCAAGTTTCTAATTTTTACACCTTTCCAATAACTCATTGACATGTTCTTTTGTTTGATTGCAAGCAGCACTCTCCAACAAATAATCATAAACCGGGAATATAAGAAGAAAACTGAGCAATAGATTCCGTTTCACACTTCTAATACCATAGGAACATGAATACAAAAGAAAACCAGTACAAAAATTCAACCTTGAATTCAGATGGAGCTATTGGAACAATAACTCTTGTCAGATCCTTTGAAGCCCCTCTAGATCGTAGAAAGTCCAACACTTCGAAATTGGTAAGTGCACCAGCATTAGCTTCTTTTCTGCAAAAGACTCAACCTTCTTACACTTCTTAAAATAAAAACCTCGCCGCAAAAGAAATGGGGAACAATGAAAAGAAAGTGGGCAACAAATTGACTGAAGAAGCTAAGCATTAAACTTAAAGCAACAAAAAACTAAAAAGTAAGAAGGGAAGCACATACATCTTCATCCTCAAGGGTAACAGAGATGTGAATAATTGACTATAAATTATATCGGTAACACAGCGCACAAGCAGTGTCTGCTGGATGGCTAGATCCTGCAGATATAAAAACAAATCATATATATATATATATATATATATAAATAAAACAAAAAGCACCTTTATTTCTAGAATTTTGCCACTTATATTCCTAGCCTAATCAGTACCAAGTACACAGACGGCTGCAATAAATCAAACAGTATGAATAATAAAAAACCTTGCTAAGCTTTCGAATATTCTATTGCTTATACTTATAACTCATAGGAATCAAGATGTTAAATTTGGTATTGTGAAAGTGATAATAACGGTGTAATCATGCCAGATCGAGTTGATCTTTTGCCATGCTCAAGCTCAACTCTGACTTTAACCTTGACGTTCGAAGCTCAACTCAAGCTAGGCTCGCAAATTACAAGAGCCGCTTGATTAGATTTAGAGATCCTTCTCAACTCAAAAGACACTACTGAAATCCCTATTAGAAGTAAGAATTTAACAATGGCCTACAATAAAATCGTTAATCCAAGTCCTTCTCAAAGTGAGATCTACATCAACAAAGTAGCAAACATCAGAAACAATACATAGCCAAATAATTCTATGAAAGAATAAATCAGAAAAAAAAATTTCAACCACTTTCTCAATATATTAAAACTTCCTTTTTCATGAAAATAAGCAAGTTATTTAACTCATCAGTCTCAGAAACCCTTTTGTTCCAATTGCTAACTTCTTCCCCTTGTTTTCATTATATAGTTAATTAAGTATTTCGATATAAATACATACAGACAGATATATATAAATAGGGTCTTCCATGGTGTTTTTTATATAGTTTAGCGCGAAAGTACCGGCTTTCTCTGTCGAGAAATTCAACAGCATTTGCAACAAAAATGCTGCTACACTTGATTGCATTTATCCCTGAATTACCAGCATTTAAAAACTGCCATGATATGTGGACCGGGAATATTGGTGTTTTACTTTGAAAGCATTTTTCTTGGAAAACCTAATTACTTATGCAAACCTAACATTTACTAGTGTCTTTGTGCTTACTCTAAACAAATACAATCCAACTCATGCAACCAACTCAAGACCTGCTAGAAAAGCAAATTAACTCAATAATAACAAATAAGACTCTAATAAACTCAATAAAACTAAGTATTACACTAACAATAGTTACAAACTTAAGTCTACTAACAAGTTAAGACTAAGTGATCAAGAAAACATTTGCTAATTAAACAAGTAAAAAATTGTACTTACCACATTATAAACCAATAAATTAACAATATATATTTAAGTTCTAAAAACAATTAGAAAAAGAAGTGAACAAACAATGGGGAGGTGAAAAGATCACAATTCTACCAGCAGATATTCTTAAGAATACATTTAATATTAAACTAGAAATAAGGGGAGGTGAAAACAAGGAAAACTATTAGTATTTCATTCAAAGATTAATCTATGACTTCTCTATAAATGGTAAAATAGAAATTATTTCAATTGTTCATGGTACATATGATAATGATTACTAACATTAATCTTAACAAGCTCAAACAAAAAAAATAAAAAAGGGCAATCAATAACGTGGATCTTAAAAAGCTCAAGCAAGAAAAGCAATCTCTGAGATCTAAGTACCGGCAAATCTGAGAAAGTAAAATACTTTACGAATTTTGTTGATTCAAGGAGACTAATTTTTGTAATAGTAATGAAAGCCCTTTTTAAGATTTAAAGAATAGCATGGATGATAAAATGCCTGTCCGAAGGTGATTTGTAGATTTGACATGGCTGCTGGTCAAGGGAATGACTTCAGCCATATGTTTGTTTATGGCAGATTGTACCAGGTGACTGGATTTTGAGGAAAAAAAAAAGGCAATTTGGTAAACATGTTTACAAGTTCTCATTGAAAAAAAAATTGAGGGGCAGCCACAACTTTACCTGTGGAAATGGAACAAAGCGGAGACAGGTTCTATTGGCAGGGCTTCCAAGGGATGACGAAAGACACTCATTATACTGCAGGCAATAATTTTAGAATGGTTCTGCCGTTATTCGTCAATTTCTGCCAATATCATAAAGAATTTAGAATGCAACAGAAGCAAATTTAAGATTTCTGCTTTTATGCTTTACTTTTTCTTTTGATTACTGCTTTTGATTTGAACTACAAATTCCTGAACAGTCATTTTGGCCTTAAGCATCGAAACTGATACTATTAAATTTTGTAAAATTCAAATAACTTGAAATGCATCATCATCGAGAGACACCAAGTTGAGTTCCAGAATTTTATACTTCCCTTTCTCATAAATAAAAACCTAAATTACTCAGCCAAAACAAAAATTAAACATATTTAGCGATAAATGATTTTTATTCATCCAAAGAAAGTATGATAGCTGCTACAAGTAAAATAAAAGTTACCAACAGGTTGATATACCAGGTTATAAACATCCAAGAACAAGCTAAAGAAAAGAATCTAACAAACAAAGCAACTGAACTCAAGAAAAGTAATAAAAATAATCAGCATTCAGTGAACCAGTCCTCGGTTCAGCCACAATTCCTGTCATTGAAGAGGAAGAGTGGAGACTGCAATAAATTTAAGGGAAAAAGCGAAGAATTGTAATTACTTTTAAGATGCAAAGCTGCGGTGAGAAGGGGACAAAAAGATCCACCAGCAGTGGCACCAGGAAGAGAGGGATTGATGCAGAGGATGCTGGGTTTTCAGGCAAATCAGCTGTATTTCCAAAACATTGAAAATCAGTGAGCATACCCAGCAACTATGAAGCACGGACACTTCTGAACCCCCCCACATACTCGTGTCTTATCCATGTCTGACATTTTAACACTTGAGACACGCCGAAATATGTGTCGAACTTGGCTGGATACAACAAATAAGAAGAAAAAGACAATTCTCGTGTGAATAACACCATATGTTATTTTATTATTGTGTCTATCATCAGTTTTTTTTCACAAGGGTAAATATCTTTTAAAAATCAGCCCAATATCTTCCATATATTTTTAAGTGGTGATTACAATATAAAAGATATTTTTTATTGCCGTGTCCTGCCGTATCCATGTTCTCATTTTCTAGAAATTATCGTGTTGTCTTGTTCATATTGTGTCGTACTCGTATTACGTATCAGTGTCCGTGTCCATGTCCGTGCTTCATAGCTCAGCAACCATTTTGGGAAGAAGAGATGGCTTGGGGAAGGAAAGGAAAACCAAGAGAGATGGGAGAGGGATTTCAAGAGAGATGAGTAAGGGTTTTCTGATTTTGGGAAGGAAAAAAAAAAGAAGGAAAGCTCACTGAAAATGGCTAGATAGAAGAGATAGCAATGGATAGGGTACCAACTATTTTTGAGGTATCCATTCCCAAACCCGATTATATTTCATACTATCCAAACCCTACAAATACCCCAGATACTTTTTGAAACGTTCATACTAAATCCTACCCTAATAATTTTGACAATACTTGTTAATCATCCAAACCGTTTAAATAACCAATTAATAAATCAAAGTTTGGCTCTCAGACTAATTTAAAGGACCTCGATTACTTGACCCGAATTTAAACTCATAACCGAACCCGAATCTAATCAAGGTATACACCAGTAACTTCCCAAATCCCATTCCATTGGCTTCTCAATACACATTTTCAAAGGAAATGACCCCAACAACAGCATAGAACAAAAATCATCAAACCAATTATTTAATAAAATTCGATTATTATTTCCTTTACACAATCACAATGGAATTCAGATCAATAATACAATTAGATAGAAATATAAAACGACAGCCATCAAAAATAATAAAATGAGACAACGAAACCACTAAATAAAAATAAATAATATAATTGAAGGGTCGTTTGGTTTTGTTTCCCTTTTCTGTTTTCTGGTTTCGTTTTCCGGTCTTTTGAAATTTGAAAACAAAAATATGTTTGATACGTTCTTTTTGTTTTTTTTTTATTTTTGAAAACTGAAAATAAAGTTTTAAAAAGTTTTAAAAATTATTGAAATCAGAAAAAATAATGTTTTCAGTTTTTTGGAAACAATTTGGCGCTATTGCCACATGGATACTGTTCACATGAATTACAATTAAATCACTACAATAACGCTATAATTATTATATTAATAAAATAATATTTTTATATAAATATTATATTAATAAATAATATATTAAAGACATTATTATATTAATATTATTATATTATTAATTACCAAAGAACCTAAAAACTTTAATCACATTTTTTATATGCTTTTTTTTCTCATTTCTTAAAAAAAAAACGTTTTATCTAAATATATTTTCAAATTCAATAAATTAAAAATAAAACGAAAATAAAATAAAATAAAAATTTCAAAACGATATAACACACAACAATACCAAACGACCATAGGAAACCCACAAAATGATTTACGCCAAACCTAAAAATATAAACTAGCGTTATCTCCTAAAAATAATTAAAAAACTAAGAAATTTACCGGTAGTTGGGTGTAGGGTGCGGGCGTGCTACGGTGAGGGGCTGCAGGCAGCAAGCGTGCGGCGCTAAGGCACAGGCTTGACACGGGCGTCGCGTGCTGGAGTCGGTGCAGGCGTGAAGGCTGGTCTAAGGCTGAAGTTATCGGGGTGCAAGGGAGACTAGGTGCAGGCTGTGGGCCGCCCCGCTACGGAGATGGGCGCGGCATATGGATACTATATGCTGGTAAGAGAAATGGATAATTACAAATGAAAAAAAAAAAAAAAAGGGAGAATCATTGACGTGGGTAACGGTGAAACAATAGTGGGCAGTGGCTGGTAGTGGTAAAGAAGAAGAAGAAAAAAAAATACGTGGGGGCGCTAATGAATAATTTGGGCTTGTACAAGGCGAAAGAATTTAGGTTTTCTTTTTTTCTTTAATAATAATTTGGGCTTGTACAATAGGCCCAAAATACATTTTAATTAATTTTACTTAATCCAAAGAAAATCCTTTGTCCCCTGTATGTGCTCTTTGAGGGAGATAATTCGGGCCTCGGTGAAGTGAAAAGAAATCCTTTGTTCCCTCTTATGCTTCCGAAAAAATTAGAATTTAATTTAATTAATTTATAAAATTATTTTTAAAAAATATATTTAATAAATTTAAAATTTGAATTCTAATACCTATAAATTTTTTTTTATCCCCGTTAGTAGTACCACAAACTTGGAGATACTTCCCCATGTTTCAATCATGTGTCCTTCCTCTTATCTTGGGGTGATTTTGGCTGTGAAGATTATAACGTGAGTGCAAAAATAGTAACTTGATTGTATGAAGAATTTTTAATAAAGTTAATTTGAAATATGAGTGTAATTAATAATGTTGTTGCAATGAGTAAAATTTTTGCTGCAAATAAAGTTTTTTTTAAAGTAATCCCTCACCCTCATTGAAAAGCAAAATTTTTTATGGAACAGTGAGAATTGATGAAAATTGCGCATAGTTCACAACTTAAGTCTGAAACAATCTGCAAAAATAGAGGCAGAAAGCACAAGGCAGAATTGTAGTGGTCCCCCAAAAATAGAGAAGAGAGTATCACAAGTCACTCATCGGAGCATCCCATGCTCCTAAACTCTCATCAGTCCAAAAAGAACAATTTGTCATTAACAAAGCAAACAACTATACAATTTAATTAAAATATTGTATGTAGCCTGAATTCAACCGAATGTTTGATTCATCCAAGTCTGAAAAAGCATTATTTGAGACGGTTTCTCAGAGACTGTTATTATTTACAGCATCCATCTGACAATTAATCTGACAAATAAAATAGTCACCAAAGTCTTCGATTAACTTTAGTTAATATAATATTAAAATGAAATATTATAAATCAAGAAGATCTGTCCCACCATATGTAACACACCTAAATCTAAGAGCCAAAGGGTAACTTCTTAAAAAATGACGAAACCAAAGAGCTTAGCTAAAACAAATATATAAATACTAAGCACAGAGAATCGGCGGTGTCTTTATCATCTCCAATATCATCATTCCTTCACCAAAATGAGATTCCTTTCTTCTCCTTTTGACCATCCCGGTCCAAGATACTCAGTTTTCTTTGCTGAACAGTGAAAGATCATGGAACTTGGATCACATGGATTTGGGTACTTTGATTCGAAGCACTTTACTCTTTCCAGTTCAAAAATAAAGAACAAAAGCCCACAATCCCATTTGGATAATATTTTCTTTAGTTTCAACTTTTTTTTTTTTACAGTGGAAACACACAAAAATCACAGCCTCATCAAATCATGGAGGCATTTGATCCTATAACCCCCCAATATGTAATTACGCTTTCTGTCAGATTTCTCCCCTCGTGTACCCAAAGCTTCAAATTCTATTTCTATTGTTCTTCTCTGCAGCAATGGAGAGGAGCCTTGACACACCCTGAGTCCAAATATCATACTCTCTCTGGTTCCTGCACTCAAACTCCACAACCCCGCGCATCACTGTCTTCAATCCGAAGTATTTCCGATTCTCTCCACCCTCAAGCAAGTGGCGACCGGGCCATGCCGGCATATCTTTAATCACCTCCAAGACCACATCTGCAGAAAAGAATTCATAAAGTGATGAAGGTTAAAGATTAAAGACAATCCCTTTTGATCTTCTTTTACTTTAGTGACTCTAGCTTTCTCAAATCCCCAAATGGAACAAAGACCCATACATCCATTTCAGTATTTTCACATTATTAGAGAAAGACAAAAGTAATCACTAACTCTTTTTCTTTTTTGTAATGGTCCCAGCAACATGTCTACTCTTCATCTTCAACATAACCTGAACAAAAAGAAGTTTCAAAAGAGTTAAAAGAATGTGAACAAAGAAGAATGGACAGCAGACGGATCTATTTATCTCATCAGGCTCTTTTAGATTTTAGATTTTTAATTTTTGTTCAGAGCTTTTTACACTCTCAGGTTCACACTCATAACATGATTTAAAGCACAATCGATTCCCCAATAATTGAGCAATTTAATCTTTCATTAAAATATATCAAATTCCAAAACATGACTATGAAACAAGAGAACCATACCTGGTTCATTTTATTTATATAAACAGAGACAATCTTCCAATGAAGATCACCTGAAACAAACAAAACAATAGTTTTGCTAAAGCTGTCATCATTTGGAACTAAAAATGGCTAACTAAAACAAAAAGTGTAGGAAAAATCGAATAACATGCGTTCAAACCCTGCATATAAAGGCAAGCATCTGCCAAATTTGAAACAAACTCAAGCAGAAAAAATCAAACAGAATTGTTCTCCCTATGCCAATTTAATTTTGAATGCATTTCCATAAACAGCTTCTAGGCATGAAACTAAATGTACAAAACAATCAAACAACAATCTGAGGAAAGAACAGGGACATGAATCAATGAAGATTACCTTTTCGAGTGCGCTTGAGAAGATCACAACCTCTAGCAAGCAATTCCCTACTGCATATTCCCAAGAAATTCTCTTCCGGAACAAGCTCCCCACTAAAGCTACCATTAGAGCTACCATTGCTTCCATTGCCACCACCTTTATCCACAGGAATAACAGCTGCTATGTTCCATACTTCCTTCAGGGCCCTTGCCTTCAAGGTGGCTGCTCCTCTTAATGCTGACATAACACCCAGAAACAATTTTCCACAATTAATTCAACCATTCCATTTGAAAATGAAAAACAAATGCATTCTAACAACTAAATTTCATTTTCTTAGATGATGAATTATTTCTATGTACCTGTTGCTGCCCCAGCAGTTAAGGTCATGATATCTCCAGCGGACCGGACATTGACTGCAGAGCTGATTACGGAGGCCAAATGCTCTCGCTCAGCCCCCAAGGCTTCTGCTGCCTCCACGCATTGCGCAGCAACAAGGGCTGCAGCTGATGCCACTGCCATATCGGTCTTTGCCATCTGCTCATCCTTTCCAGCACTCGAGGAGGCAGCAGTGGCCGCCGCAATAGCTGCCACAGCTGCCGCAACCCCGGCAACAGAGATAGCAGCATGCAGCTGAGCATTATGAGCCCGTGTTTCTTCTTTCTTCTTCTCCCTCCTGTCCTTCAGCCATCGTCCCACCGTCTTTCCACCACCTGTCACAGCAGTTGTAACAGGGGTAGCCGCAACTGTTGTGGTTGTACGGAACTGCGTGTTGAGGGAATTACTACCCCGACAAAATTGCTGCAAAGGTAAATGTGAGCCAGTCATTCCTTGAGTGCATTGTCTTAAGTTGGGATTAAAAATTCAAAAAAAAAAATCCTCTTAAGATTATAACAACTAACCACCGCCATTGAAAGGCTGAGTTGTTTTTCTTTGGG